CACTCAATTCTGCACTTGCATCAAACCATTCCTGAAAAAAAAAGAAGATAAAATAGCCATTAAAAAATAAATAAAAAACACATTTGTTGTACCAATGTTGTACCACGAGGACAAGTTTTTTACACCACGTGATTAAAACTTGACTGAATTTTGATCACGTGGTGTAATAAACATGCCCACGTGGTACAACATTGGCATCACATGGTCGATTTGGAATGTACTTGCGAATAACATAACAGACGATACGAAAAGGCGATTAAAAAATCACAACTACCTCGGTCTACTGGGAAGAGTAGTATTTTTTWAAATACTGTTCCCGGCTGCCACTGAGGCACATAGACACTGACAGTGAAAAAACTAAAGCCATATGAGTGCAAAATAACTTACCTCAAATACGTCGGACTCACAATCATCACTTATCTTGTTCTGTTCTCTCTCGGTTTCATCGATCCTATAATAAACAAATGACGTACTGAGATAGCCTTCTTCGCAAAGAAGTCTTATCTCCGTTTACTAGCGCGCATAACTCTCTAGCGCGCATAACGAGAGAGAGAGAGAGAGAGAGAGAGAGAGAGAGAGAGAGAGAGAGAGAGAGAGAGAGAGACTCAGAGAGCGGAGAGAGAGAGAGAAGAGAGGCGAGTAAAAATATGCAGACCAGATGACTTACCACTTGGTAATAAGAAACACCAGAACAAAGACACCAACAACAAACCCGAAATACACCAAGGGAAAGAAAGATGTTGTCTCAACTGAGGGGTTGTAGACCACTAATGATGTGTTGTCTAGGACTGAATGAGGGAATAAAATAAATGGAAAAATATTTAATGCCAAATCTTTTTTAAATTTATTTCTGTTTTAATCCATGCCAAACCTTACGCATCCTTTATTTCTTTTCTTTCTTTCTTTCTTTTTTTTCTTTTTTTTCTTCAACTTTATTGAGTGAAAGCTATAACATAGACTCGATTTTTAATACTGTTATTAAGTTATTGTTGTGATTTTTTCCAGTGCCCCCTCAAAGATTTTTTGCAGTGCCCCCCCCCAAAGATTTTCAGCTTCCGCCGCCCCTGAATACGTAATATATTTTTCATATAGCTAGTATTTTACCTGTGTTATATAATTTCTCCTGGTTGAATTCGTTTGCTGTTGTTTGATAATCTTTTTGAGGTGCTGGTGGAGAAACTATGAAACAAAAATGTAATTGTCAGCATAAAATGTAAAATGGAAATAATAAACCCGTGAATGGCATGGAGAAATGCTAACTAATGGCGTAATGTTTTCCCCAACAACTGTTTATTTGTACCATCCATTTAAATTACAATTGCAAATTATGTATCATGAGAGAAATTAACAAACTCATTAATAATTCATGAGGAAGCGCAATAGAAATCATGACCGTGAAGAGCTTTATAATTCTGATACAGAATGTTTATTTGCATAAACTTTAACTTAGATTTTCTTGGGCAGATTCACTTGTATCTTGAAAATTTTAGTGAAACACAAAGCCGAACTAATACAGTATGAGTAACCGTGTTGTACACTGACGAAGTATATAAACTCTCGGCCACGTCTCGAGTTCATACAATATCCTTTACAACACGGCCACTCATATGTATATATTACATAAATTAAAACTGAAACATTTCGCTTTGACAGACACGACTTGGACACTGTTGTTGCGGGCTTCCTGTGTATATTTCTACCCATTAAATAAAGGGTCGAGGTACTAGCTGTCTAAAATAGCCACAAGTGCTAAATTAAATCAAACAGCCGTGTGATAACCTAAAGTATTATTTCATCTTTTCTTTGTTTAATGGTTGCACATGAAAAGACACACGAATATGGATACGACTCAAACAAAGAATCTTATTTTCAARAGAATGACAYGTGGTCTGAAATGGGAAAGCATTACGCCCAAGGTAAAGAGGTTTGTTAAAGGTAAAGAGTACTTTTCATACAATACCGCCTTATAGTTTCTTTTTTTTTCTTTTTTCTTTTTTCTTTTTTCTTTTTTTTTTTTTCTTTTTTTTCTCTTAGTCTCTTTATTTTTGTTAATTCATTTTTTCTTTAATATATTTTTAATGATTAATATTCTTTATTTTTCCAGTGCTGATTCTGATTTTCATTATGCACCAAGGACCCTTATTTTGAATTCCTTCAAACTTCAAGACTCCTACCTGCTTCCAACGTAACTTCCAAGTCTTTTAATATTCTGTGAGCCTCCAACAAATAGCGTTGCTCTGCAAAGAAACCAGGTACAGATTTGAATATCTATTTGCTGTAGTTAACATGTTGAAAAGAGGAAGCGCAAAACGCGCGGAAATCAAGTTTCGATTCCTACCGCTAGAATCAAGATATCACCCAATGTTTTACCTGATTGGATCGCGCTGGTGCATTTTGCATTTGTTGAACCAAATATAAAATTTTCTATTATACATTCTATTGTGTAAAATACCACAAAGACACTGGTAAATAGCACAAAGCTGATCATTTTGATCTGATCAGCTCAGCTATCGAGTTAAAACTAAACTCATTAGTCTAATTACGTGTTTATGACGTCATAATTTGCCGCGCGCGCGAGGTGACGTCATGTTTGAAATGACCAAATATGGCTTTACATCTTTGACGTCATTTTCAACATATGCATATGAACACAGGCAGCCTAACCAATAACAATAGAGAAATCGGGGGAAAAAAAATTAATATATATATACATATACAAAAAAGAAGTACAAGTAAGACCACAAACGAGACAAAAAGCAAAAAATCGCTTTTAAACGACATTCTGTGCTACGAATCTATTTTGGGCTTGCTTTGATAGTCATTTTTACCCTGCTTGGGTCTCCTGTGCTTTATTCGATCGTGTTTCAAGATGGCGGACGGCAGAGCAAGAGTCAACAGAGAATTTCGTGATAAATTGACTGAACGAGTTCACTTCAACCTCGTTGAGGCTGGAAAACTAGGACAACAGCTAAATAGAAGCTCCAGATCTCACGAAGTAAGTAAACTTTTCCTTTCCACGTTGAGCAAACATATCTTGAACTCGAAATAAGTGAAACAAGACAGACCAAGTAATAAACACGACTTATTTTTCCCTTTTAGATTCTTGCACAAAGTACCAAGCACTATGTCAGCCAAGAAAGCTCTCTTGCCAATACCGTGGAGGTAATAATGCCAACGTTAACTTTGATAACATTGTTTTGCTTCATACTATTAAAAATCATCCCTGCAACACACACAACACCCGAGGTTCTTATTTTAAATATTTTTGAATGTAAAATATTTGTAATTATCGTACGTAATAAGATGAAGAACTAGTCCTTAAGTTTTCATATCGTTTTATTTTTTATTTTTTACTATTTAGCCATCCTTCAAAAGTAACCAAAGTGTATAAGTATATAAGTTTTAGAATTTTCTCAATTTCATTTTTACTTTTTCATTTTCAGAAAATGGGACACATGCAGCACTTGAATCAGAATATGAAATTCCAGTAAGTATAATTATATCACCTCTACATCTCGTCATTGCACAACTTTCTTGTAAATAAATGTTAAGTAGTTATCAAAGAAACATAATAGACCTCCTCGGCTCAGGCGCACTCAGGCATCATGTTTCCCCATTTCAGATATGTATCATATTTCACTTTAATTTTAGACTTGAATAGAGTTTCTCACACTGTGATTGGTCGACGACCAGTGATTCTATAATAATAATAATAATAATAATAATAATAAAAACTTTATTTAAAGAGGGGACACACAACAGTTACAATAAAACATATCGTACTGAAAACCCAGTGGCCCTCTGAAAATTATAAAAATGGAAATGAATCAACAAAATTCAACAACAAACTAAACGTGAATAAAAAATAAATAAAATTAAGGAATGTCTTATAAAAAAATAAAAAAAATAACGTAAGACGTTTCCTCCAAGCCAAGAGCACCGCAGCACAGCTCCACYCCAAGTCCTCAGGCCGCAACCTGGAAGACCTGGGGTGAAGCTGGCACGGAGCCCCCCATGACTCAGAACAAACGCCTTACTTATTCTGAGACAATAATCACTGCTCGAGAGGTGATTATGAGGTTTTTGCAAAGTTTGTTAGATCGGATGTAATGCTAAAACGTTTTTTATCCTGAATTTCTTTTCTCTGATATTCAAGTCTAAATTATACTAAAACAATTATTCCCCTCAGGCTCAGTGGTTACGGTGAATATTTACCTCGCCGCTAGAAGTCTCACGTAATAGTAAATACTTGTTAAATATCATATCATTATGTTGTTTTGAAATTAACAAATAAAACAGCTTTTTCTGTGCTCTGTTCAGTAACAGAGCATGCAGGAAGTGGCTTAAGAAGTGTAAGGCTTCTCACACTTCTTGAGTGCTTACAGTGCTTCCTAAGTGCTTTATTACTGAATGGAGCATGGAAAAAAGCTGTTTTATTCATCTTATTATATAGCTAACTAATTTTTTGGGGAATTGAATGCATTTAGGCAAAAAGAAAGAGGGTTGCAGCACTTCACTCGTGCAGATGGCATCAGCACTGTGCTCTGTTCACTAATAAAGCACAGTTTTTGGCAGATCCGCACATGCATACTATCCTAACTTTATAATAACAACTATCATTTTTGATTTAAAAATAATCATATTTATTGAAATAGTAGTAATAAATTATGCGTTCGGTGTGTATAATGAAGTAGAGAGAATAAGAGAAAAATTATTAAAACTATTCTCTCTACTTCATTATACACACCGAACGCATGATTTATTACTACTATACTATGTCTATGCTTTGCGTACATATTTAYGGTGTTCAACTTACCTATAGAGAAAAAGTATCGCTCTGGGATCCTCATGAGTACCCTACATTTCATATTTTTTCCTTGTAGTGTAGTGGTTTACACATCGGACTAGAAATACCGAAGACGTGGGCTCGATTCCCGCCAAGGGCAATCGATATTTTTCTCTTAGGCCTAGGGCAAACGTCGAACTTTCCATGCACCGAACTCATTAAAACAATGGATATCAGGTGACAATGAGCGGCATTCTTTGATGTAGTTAAGTTCGGTGCATGGAAAGTTCAACGTTTGCCCTAGGCCTTATTCTCTCTATATTTATTGAAAGTTAACCTTTTACATTTATTTGCAGATGTGATGACATACATCAAAGGTGAGTTGCTGAATATTAAAAATATTACTTGTATTGGTACTACAGGCATATTCCATATATTCCATACGTTATTCTATTTTATATCCATTATAATTTTGGTTTTTGTGCATCTGCATATTGGTAACACTGATCTGTTTTTCTCGTTTAGTTTGCAAGCTGTTGGATTCGTCAAAAGACAACTAGACTATGTATGGGTAGATGTGCCAAGGGGCTGAGACAACTGCAGTAATAAAGGTCTGAGATATGTGTAAGATGATCGGTAGTCCAATACCATATATGATGTACAAAGGGACTGAGACAACTGCAGTGATAAAGGTCTTAGATATGGTTCATGATTGGATGGTAGTTCAATACCATGTATGATTTACCAAGGGGCTGAGACAACTGCAGTAATAAAGATCTGCGATATGTGGCAGGTGATTTGGTGGTAGTCAAATACCATATTTGGTGTACCATACCAAGGAGCTTAGATAACTGCAGTGATAAAGGTCTGCGATATATGTAGGATGACTGGATTACAGTAGTTCACCACCATATTGGGGCTGAAAATGTACATATTTGTTCTTTATTTTCAAGAGACAAATAAAGTCAATGCACAAAAATGCTACTAAACTAAGAGAATCTTTTCATTATCTAAGAGGGTGACTTCTGACAGTCTGTACATTGGAGACATTTTTTGTCGCAAAGGCTTGTCATAATGGAAGTTATGTTAACTCTAAAATCTACATCTACATCAATTTACTGCTGTATGTTGCTTTATTGTATAGACACTAGTGTTTTACTGGGAAATATGCCACTCGTACTACATCCTTGACCTCAGTGACATATTTTCTATATCCTCACTAGTTAAAATATCGATTATATCTTTTCCAATATTTTCAACATAAAGTTTTTTGTGAATGTGGGTATATAATAAAAAAGAAAATTACATGTTGGCTAGAAGATATGAAGTTTATCTTCTGTCGAAAAATATTTCACTCTACAGGGGCGGTGGAACAAGGGGGATGGGGGGAGGCACATGGCCCCCACAAAATGTTTTGGGGGGTCTGGCCCCCCCAGTCACAGTTTTACGGTGCATGCGTCTACAATCAAGCAAAACAGCGGCCATTATCACATAGCGTTAAATATAATATTTCAGTGCCCCCCAAAGATTTTCAGCTCCTGCTCTAAGATAAACTTCATTTAGAGGTTATCACATGTTAAGAACTTGATATCGTTTTTATTCACGAGTTTTTCCGTATCATATCGCGAACGAGCGAGTCCTCGAGCGAATAAAAACGATATCAAGTTCTTAACATGTAATGATTTGTTTATTACACATTTAGGCTCGATATATAACACACACAAAATGTTTTATTGTCTTAAATATCCTTAACCGACTTACACCATTTCAAAATGTTAAAGAATTATACGTTTCCAATTCAATATCATTCAAGATATTAAAGCTTAATTAAAAATGTAAGAAGCACAAAATTCATCTTGAATTTGATAGAAATAAACACTAAATAGAGATTTATCTCGTCACTCTTGACTACTATCGTAGTCAAGTTACAGTTACAGTTTACCGTGAAGTGATATCGTATCACTTCACTGATATGGTTTTTATTCACGGCTTTATTTCACGGATATCGAGCTTAAATGTGTAATAWATCTTTATGCCTCCATTTAATATCCTCTTTGTATGTAAGGTTTTTTGGCCGGAAAAACGACCCTCTAAGAGTCCTACCTAGCATGTATAAAGTTAATTAAGTAATTAATTAACCAAAACAAAATACTTTGTGTGACGTAATTCACTGTCACGCACAACAGACAAATTTAACTCGTGACGTAAGGAAAACAGTGAGCCATGCATTTCGCTATCAGACTCGTGTTCAGCGATTGTTTTTGAGGTGGCAAAGGTAGCATACCGTTCTATTTAGCAGGAAAAATAAATTTGCCACACATTTGAACTTTGATTACATTGGATTTGTAATTCTATACGTTCGTAAAAAATTCTGAGAAGTCCTTGGAAAACCGGAAGTCCAGTTGGAGTTCTTGGAAAACAGAGAAGTTCATTCAACAAAAGGGTATTTTTAATACGTGTGTACAAGACTTACGAACCTTCAAGCTCATTTATCAGTTGGGTAAGTACTTTTTTTGTCATTTATTGATAATTCAATAACAATTGAGAACGTATTCAATCCGCAATAGATTTTYCCCCGTTTTTTTTTAATGGAAAACGTTCTCTACCTTTGCAAGTCTTGTTTGCCGGCCGTGATCACATCCCATACATTTTTTTAACTTGCTGCTTCTCTATAAGTTAACATAAAAAAGTAATCAAAATCAAAATAATTTTTCAGTTTTCTTATACTGTATGGTAATTTCCTATTAATTTTGATCCAAGTTTACTCTTTAGTCCTTTAGTTTCGATATTGGGTTTATATTTCAGATTCTCGCCAGCGCCTAATCATATACACGAGGCACATTTATATATAGAACGCTTTCCGTTGGAGTAAAATAACTCCCCATTAATCTTTATGGGGGTAAAATGAAACGGAAAAATGGGTTTTATAATTGTCTTTCTTGTACAGTAAATTCCATATTAGGTACTAAATGTAACTTGATTTTCAACACTCTTTGAACATTATGTATAATTACCACGTCGCACGACTTATTTTAGAAGGTGAAACCAATATAGACCGATATCCGGTTGGACTTTTAGAAAATAAAAGCAGAATTGAATCTTTTAGCTAGTAAAATAGTTGCTAAAACGAGACGTGCTATCGTTTCCTTAATATCGAAAGCTTCGTTTATTAATTTTCTTTTACGGAGTCCTGCCGCCACGGATTTTGGCAATGACTTAGACGTACTTCTGTTCCATATGAGTATTTTTCTTGAATATTTAGGTCTTTTTGCTTGAGTTCTATAGAACATGTTTTTGCTTCCTGACTTTTAACTGTATCACAACTTCCACACGAATGAAAAAGGCTTATTTACTGTTAGTACCGTGACCGAACTTTTTCTTGGCATTTTCGATTTGCCGAGCATTGATTATCGCGCTCTGTGACTGGATTAAGAGACGCCGTGACACTGCTTTGTGACATTGCCTGTCGTTACACAGTCACGGAGATATAGAGCCGTTGACATGGAGAAAACTTGTACCTACTGGTAGCAGGGACACCTTTCTACTCGAGCATTTTCTATATTAAGCATTTATATGGAAAGAAGTTGTGTACCTACGAACCCGGGACAACTATCTCGTTTCAATGGAGATACGCATGCTCAAAAGAAAAAGTTGACTCGGTTAGGCGAGTTAAAGTGTTTCGCAAAGAGGGTAAATTCCCCCGGGGGGGGGGGGGGGGATGTAACTCTACCAGTAGGGTGACCCTTCTAGCCGAGGCAAAGTAAAATATTTCACGATGTAAACGGTCGAGACGAATTTACAAAGAAAATGGGGAAAAGTTAGCTCGCCCAAGGTAGCTCTGGGAAAAGGGTATCCCTTCTACAGGGACAAGTTTTCTCCATGTAAACGGCCCCTCTGCTTGTTTAGGCGCATTGGGGTAAGGAGCTGTGGATGGCGAGGGAGAGGGAGAGGGAGAGGTGAGATCCCGCGCACAGCCCCCACCGGCCCCTCTGGACCAATATGCAGGCTACTCTAGACTAGCCTTGGCTATTTCTATATTTTTTTGTCTTGATTTAGGTGCGTACTGTTTGGTGCATTTGTAAARAGATATCATTACTAATTATGAATAATTCTTTAAATGTAATTTATCAAAGGTGACCCATATTACGTCGGTACCTTTTTAGCAATAGTATTCCAAAAATCTTGACCAAGAGTCTAACTAAACCAACCAGAAAAGATTTACCAATGTGTAAATTGAACACTACTTTTACCAACTCTTCCTGAGATTTAGTTTGTTTCCAAGAGTTAATTGTGTTATATATAGGAACATAGCTTAAAAATGTGACAAACATAATATGGTCAATACATTCCCGCTGAACTAGGGGAGTTGAATAAATAAACAGACCGGGGGGTACTCTTGCCCGTTTAGGGTAGGGATGTGCCGCTGAGCCCTCTGAACCCTGACCCTGTTCCAGAGTAAAAATTGCTGTAATTCATACCCTGTTCCAGAGCAAGATCGCTGAAAATCATACCCTGTTCCAGTATTGCGAAAATAGATACCCTTTTCCAGAGAGGAGAGAGCGTGATTTCATATACCCTGTTCCAGAGCGAGCGCGATTTTATATACCCTGTTCCAGAGTAGAATCGCTGAAAACCATATCCTGTTTGGTGGCACGTACCCGTATAGCGAATATAGGGGAGTACCCCCCCCCCGGTAAACAGACAAGATTACGTAAATAAACAAAATAACTAAGGCTAGCGCTTGTACTTCTGATTAAATTATTCCAAGCAAGCTATTCCATGCTTGTAGAGTAGTAAAAAAGTGGTTAGGAGTTAACAGTAGAGGCTGGGACTTTATTATCGCGGAAGCTAGAAAATTCCACAGAGTAGAACTAGGAGTTCCTATTTCATAATAAAAAAATTATGGGAATTCCTAGTTTGACCTGATAATCTGTTAAGTCCAAAGCTGAATCAGATAGGGATTAGTTGAAAGGAGAGACATATGTGGAATCTTCTCTTCACTTGATATCTATACTAATAACCCTTACGTATTCTACAGACGATGAACTTGGCAGCAAAACCATCTATGGCTTCCCTATCAACCGCAAACACGACCACTTCGCTCTCTGTCACAAATGCCTCCATGTTACTTACAATGGCTGTTTTCACTGTGTTTGGTAACGGTCTTGTTCTTGTCATCTTATGGAAAGATCCTGCAAGAGAGTTGAGATCAATGTCCAACCTATTGATCGCCAACCTCGCAATCAGTGACCTCATTCTCGGTCTATTCGGCGAGCCGCTCTTTGCATCCAATCACTGGATCGGTAACTCGACGTTGTACCTCACGTCAAGGTGTGTCATTGATCTATCTCTTGTTTCATCGTTCATGAGCATCTTGGCTTTGTCTCTGGAGAGTTACTTTATGTTGAAGACGGAGGGTCGGTTCAGGAGCTCTTTTCGCAGACTCCATGTTATAGCTTGTACTGTTGCGATCTGGACGCTCTCCACAATTATCAGTTCCCTGATCTTTGCATTCTCTGAAGAGAACTACAAATTCATTCTGGCTTTTGGAGTTGGTGCACCCATCTTTGTCGTAATGTTAATCGTTTATATCAAAATCTATTTGGTCATCAAACGAGTCTACCGCAAAGACTACAAGACTATCAGAGAAGCAGTTGACAGTAGCATTGACGAAGTGGAGCGAAAAGCAGAGAGAATTCGGGCAAAAGAACTAAAAGTTGCTTGGACAATCTTCACTATCGTTGGTGTTTTGTTCTTCTTTTGGATTCCAGCCATCGTTTCGGATGCCCTGGGGAAGTTTTGTGCTCCTGTCATGTCGTGTCACTTGGATAAGAATCTGTCCGATTCAATGGTCATTATTGGTTTCCTTAATGCGGCTTTCAACCCTGTAGTGTATTCTCTGAGAACTAAAAAGTTCAGAAAAGCGGTGCATTTGATTCTTTTCGCTTCCAGTAACAACAGCAAATCTTTGATGCCGTTGATTGCATGAAGAAAGAAGCCTCCCTTTTCCGACCTTAGCAACAACAACAACAACAACCAAAAAAAACAAAAAAAAAAAACAAAAAGTAAAAAATGATCTCATTATTAAGTACTGTTTAATAAAGGAGTGGGAGTGTTTTATCAGGTATAAAAGCACGAGGCGTAGCCGAGTGCTTTTATACCTGATAAAACACGATCTACGAGTTTTTTGAACTGCTTAAAACACTCAAACAATTTATAAGATTTTGGTTCAACTGGAGCCACCATACACGTCACGAACATGGATTTTTATACTTCGATAGAGATTTGACGTCACGGGCATGCGCAACCAGATTCAATAGAAGCTCCCACACGTTGGATATTGCGTGCCAAGGCAAAGACAGGCACGTTAGTCAAAGATCATTAGGGTTGGCTATGACCTTGATGAAGCTCTATGTCTTCATCTAAACTTGGATGCATACTTCATCCCTGATGAAGTCATCCTCATAGTATTCGAGTGGTCTTTATATAAAGATCACATGTGTCTTTATATATAATCACTTGAATACTAATGAAGAGGACTTTATCGGGTATAAAGGTTCATGCACGTGACGTGTATGGTTGCTCCAATTGGACCATAAGCTTATGAATTATTAATGAGTGTTTTAAACATATTTATTTTGTTCTTAATATATTGTTTCTTAGAAAACATGTCAAAGCTAGAAAGTGATATTCTTAGATGTTGTTGCTTCAATGCTTCCTAAGATCGAAACATTAAAAACATGCTAAATTCGATCCAATTCAATCTGTAACTAGCCGTTCAGCCTAAAGGCTGTTTCAGGGCTAGAGAAAACTGAAGCCAGTTGCACGAAGACTTGATAAAATTATCCACCGGATAAGAGTAATCCCGGCAGTATTCGGTTTATCTGCTGGATAGTGCTATTCAGCTTATGTGATCGCTCGGCTATTAGAACTGCAAGCAATGCACGACAAAGCGCCTCTGCGTCGAACAACCGGCCTCAGGTGTCATTGCATGAAAATCTTGGTATTAAAAAAAAATTAACTTAATTTTTTTATAAACTCAGAAATGAAACACAATTTTACCCCTCCCCCTGTTATAAATAAAACAACATAAACTTATACAAATTTATGCTTTATTTAATCTCCAAAATAATTTTCAGAAAATTCGCTAGAAATTCCAGCGAGAAAGTCTCGCTTGCTGTGTAGGGACAGACTCGTACCCAGTCGCTTCTCCTGTCTTATTGATCTCACGCTGTGGTTGATGGAAAGGCTTTAGTGAGTTCGCGGTGCATCAAGGAAAGGTAGGAAGAGAAAAGCGAAGGTGCTTCTTCGCGTAAACACGTTTTCACGTTAAAACACTCCGCCATCTTGAATTTGTCATCCGCCAGTCTTCACCTTTTCTCTCCCCTTCCCAAAAGCCATCACGCGCATTAAAAAAGCCTGAGTGACGACTGGGTACGAGTCTGGTGTAGGGAAAGTTAATTGAGAAGGAGAAGAGGTGTGCGAAGCACTTAAACTAACCCCGAGTAAAGGGGCCTTATCTTTTCACAATAACGAAGTATTCTTATTAAGAAGTAAAATTTTACTTGTTTGAGAAACGAAACCGTTAAGAACATTTAACTATTAAAGCATGAAATAAAAAAATTATTTTGACTGTATTCTTTATTCTTTATTATTATCTTATTTCCCGTTAGGGTATGGACGCCATAACAGCATAGCCAATAGCGCAGCGCACTGATTCTAAAAATAGCTTAAAGATTCGGACAAACATTGCATTCTGTTTAGCCGCTACGAGGATTATACGAACTGATTTTATTATTTTTACTTAAAGTTACAATAATAACCCATGTAAACTAAGATCAACTGCGATCGGCTGTGAAAATTATCTGCTGAAAGTAAACTTGTGAGTTTGTTTGTCCGAATTTCGTCTTTGTCTTCGTTTTTATGACGTTACGGCTGCGCTGCGCTACTACTGTGAGCCCTGTGTTAGCACAGTTACATGAAGATGGTCGTCACCAGCGTCTTTAGCAGGTCTTTTACATCCGCCTTATACCTGGTTATAGATTGACGACAGACGGGGCCGTTCATACGGCTTTAAGTCCTCAGATGTAACGATGGGGGGAGGGGGTTGATTCTACTTCGACGGTACGACGCCCATATTGGATTGCAAGGCATTATGGGGCGTCCGGAGAGAAATAAAGCTTTGTTACAGTAATGAGGTCGATTGATATTAACAGCTCATCACAAGAGAATACAGAAAAAGATGAATTACGATGGCACATATTACCTTTACCCATAAAAGAAAGGCAAACACGAAACTCTATAAGATTTTCCATCGTCTTGGTTTTGTTTTCTGGCAAGATGGCCGCCGTATCGTCGATGTCAGGTGCATTGGGTGACTAGTCACCCCCTTTGAAGTTGAAATATAATGAGAATAAAGGATATACACTTATTTCAATAAAGTTAGTCACCTGAAAAGCTATAAAGCTGAGGCCGACAAGGATCATGGGTTAATTCATTTTACACTTTCAACCGCTTGATAACTGTTCATGGACTTGCGAATCTTTTACCGATTACAGTCTCATCTCTTCTGAGCATCATCGAGCTGCATTTTGTATTAAAAAAGCTTTTGATATATATGCGTTTTTGATATGAAAAGTTTCCCATGATGCTCAGTAACCTCAGCTTTCTAGGTTTTTGGTGACTAACTTTATTGAAATAAGTGTATAAGAAAAGACCTAAAAAGGAGATAGCAAGAAAGTAGAAAGATTATGCAGAAATGGAAAGTATAATGAAAGATCTAGATTAGAGACAACCAATGAAGAAGTAAAAATAAGAATAAGGATAAAAGAGGAGGATTGCTTGCTCTATAAACTTCCATATTCATATTGATGGTTTCCACACCCGCCATGTTGGATGAACTTAACAAAAGACTTCGTCATTAGTCTCTTTTGTTATATCATCCAACATGGCCGTCGTGTCTTTTGTTATTTCCTTCTCATGGGAATGATTGAAAACCAATATTAAAAAGGAAAAGAAAAAAATTGCAAGAGTTGTGTTAGTCACAAGTGTTTAATCGCTTGAAATTGTTTCAATTACAACATTCCTGGGCTTTAGCTACTACATCTAAAGTCTAACGATTATTATACGATCAGCTACACTTGTTATGAGATGACCGCTCTCGTAGAATTGAACGGCTTGGGGATCTTTATTGGCTTCAGCTCTACTCTACCTTACTCTATTCTATTCTGCTGAACTGATTACATGAGCTATGATTATCATCATAATGATTATATGAAAGGCGTCAATCTAATTAATTGATATAATCGTAAAATCGTGATGTGGCTAAACGAATGCATGAATAAATTCCTAAGTGCGATATTCTAACGACGCGTATTACGAGTGAAAATCTAAGGCCCCGTCCACACTATGCCGGATAAATTTGAATCCGCAACTTTCACGGCGAAACCGAAAAAAAAGTTTTCCGTCCACACATGAAAACGGATATAGAGGATATGTGCTACCCCCCCCCCC